ACTGTCCTTGGGCAAAACGTCTTTAGGCAAAATGTCGGGCACATACGATTGTAATACATTGATAGGATAATGAGTGTAATGGTGAACTAACTCAGTGTCGAATAGATATGAAGAGTGATGTGAACGAATCGGAGAATTTCAGCAGAGATTATATCGGAATTCGATTAATCGATGGATAATTTGCTTTTGGATTGGTGTGATTACGGGCTGTATCGCTGCATCTATTGATATCATGATTCATTACGCGAGTGAAGTGAAGTTCCGTTTGATTATCGCCAATTGTTAGTTGTTCTCTCGTTTTGTTGAAATTCGTTTGAATTCTCATATTTCGATTCTTCATTTGTGGTCGTATATTGATGATGCTGGCTTGATTATCACTGATATTGTGGAATGTTGATGAACATAAAATGATGAATCAGCAGCATTTTGAAGCATTAAAACAAATGAATCAATTGTTGAACTGAATAATGCAAGGGTGGTAAGTTTCATAGGAATAGTGAATTTAGTTCATGTGGCAATATTAATGACAATGAAATATGGGTAGTATTGAGTGCAGCGGCATAATTAAGTATGAATATGAATTGAAGTGCTGAAACTATGCGAGAATAGTATGGAGCATGGCGGTGGTTGCGTGTGGATGGTGGAACTGGCGTGGATTGCATTTAATTGCGGACTTGTGGCCATCTCTGCAGGTCTTGTCGTGTACATATCACCCGTTGCTGCTGGATCTGGTTCGGTTCATTGCTGATAGCGATTATTTGATTGATTGATATCGTGCACATTGTATTGGTTGATGAATATTAAAGGAATCCCGCAAGTGAAAAGTTTCTTGAACGGCGTACAAATCCCTGGAGTGGTCAGGTTGAAAACATTGGTTGTGAAATCGTTCGGTGTTGCGTGTACTGTCGGTGGAGGGTTGGCTGCCGGAAAGGTTATTTGGATTACTGTTATATCTGTTCTTATTATTGTATCACCATTGGTATCTTAAGATGTTCAATGTGCGGTTGAATCCGATATCTGAATTAATAACTGAATTAATAATTTCTGCATTTGATTTCGTACAGTGAGTGGTAATGCTGATGATAGTAATAAATTTTTTGATGGTGATAACAATGAGAATTTTAAAAAATATTTAGGAAGGTCCAATGATCCACTCTGGTGCGGTTGTAGCCGCAGGCATCTCGCAAGGAAGGTGTATATCCCTCCCGATTGATTTCGGTATTTTCAAGGATTTTCGGAATGATAGGTGAATCGTTGCAATATAGTTGTTGTTTTTCGTTTATGAAATAATAACGATCATCAATGATCTTATCAGTCGCATTATTATATTATATTATCATTCGAATGTCATCCTATTTGGTTTTATTATCGCTGTTTTTTGAAAGCATTATTGATATAGAATTTGGTTGTTGCATTAGTTTTATGAGTGGTTACTTTTGGTTGTGTTTAATGAATTAAGTTGGGTGATAAATATGTGATAAATGAGTTGATAAATAATAACAGATGTTATGACAGTGATAAATAATAGCAAATATT